TTTTCCTGCCCCTCTCCTCCCGCCACTCTAGTCCCAATCCTAGTAAACAGCTTAAGGTCTAGGATACTAGCTACGTCAATCCATCTTTCTTCTTCCCTCTCACAAACTTCCAGACAAGAAAATTACAAATAAACCCCAGGAGTGGTTAATGCGGGTGCATTCAGGCTCTCCCATCCCAGCAAATACACCGTCGCCACAGCCACCGCCGCCGCCACCACCACCACCACCACCACCACCCACTCCATCCCTCCCACCTCCGGGTAGGGGAGGGACTGGCAACCTGATCTCCAGGCTCCTGCTCCGAATGTTTCCCCATCAATAATGTTGATACCATCGATGTGCCTCCACCCCCACCCCCGGGGCGCCGCGGCCGCCTTTTCGCCGGTTTTTGCTTGTCATAAGAAAACGAAACCTCCTCTTCTGCCCTCCTCGCCTCCGCCAGGGGCCAGTGGGGCCTGGGGCCGGGGGCTGAGGAAGCAGGGGCGCGGGCAGGGCGCATGGGGGCATCCTTCAGTTCAAGAGTAGAGTGCCCACTAGCGCCGGTGAAAGAGGAGGGTCCCTGGCCCAGGCCAGGCCTCATTCCAGGTTCCATCCCAAACCTGGGATCAGACTGGTCCAGAATAGGATATTTTTGCGGGTAGAAGAACCAGGCCTCAGAAAGGGGAGGCTCAGCACCCTCTCCCCTTCCCAGGATCAGGGATGGAGCGGAGAGCTCGGAAACCCCTCCGCCAGGAAGTCAGTTCTAGCTCGCAGCCTTGGGGCACAGCCCTTCGGCCCGCCAACCCACCAACGACGCTCTAGGTCTTAGGAAAACTGAGAGGACGTATTGGTAGAAACACGGGCATCAAGCCCCCAAAATGTGACTTCGCTCAACTGGCCAAGAGCCTTCCCCGGGTGCGGTTCTTGTTACCCATGAGGTCATGACCCTGGCGCAGCAGCTGCCTCACTTCGGGCCACCCCACTCCCTTGCGTGGATCAGTCCCTAAGTGCCCGGCGCTCTCGCGGAAACTGCGAGTCCGAGCCCTATCACCCGGACGCCTCCAGCAGCTGCTCCGCCCAAGGCTGGGACGGCGCGACCCCCCGGTAGAGCGCGCAGGTCTCTTGGGTGAGCCAGGCGCGGGGATGGGCTCCAGCTGTGGCACCTCGCTCGCACTCGCTGCCGTCTTTCCACCCGCTCAAAAGTAAAAATCAACCCCCACTCTGTCTCCGTTTTTATTAATTTAGTTATTTCTTTGCCTCGCGGCACACGAAGCCTCACCCGAGCCCTGACATCGCGGCGCCCGCGTCAGCGAACCACGGAACTTGGGCCCGAGACAATGGCCCGTAATTGATGTACTGCCATCAACAATAAAGACCAATTCTCCTCTCCCCGCCATTCTGACCATCCCCCTCCTCCCATCCCCCCTCCTCCACCTCCCCTCTCCCCTCTCCAGGCCACAGAGGGAAAGAAAACAAACAAGAAATTAGCGGGGGATGCTGCGCACAGAGCCAGACGCCCGCCTCCACGCCGTCGAGGACGAAAAAGAACGAAAAAAGTTATTAAAGTTTGGATCCCCCAATTAATTCGTCTCTGCTCCCCTATTTTAAATTAAACATTGCAAAGCTGCTTTTGCGTGTTGCATTTCCTTTGGTTGTTTGTTTTGGTGCTTTGGGGGGAGGGAAATCTTTTTTTTCCCCTTAATCTTAATCACACATAAAGCAAGAAACGAACTCGTGTGAAGCTATTCCCGCGAGCTTCCCGCAGCGCACGCGGCGCGCACCGGGAAGCAGGGTTTGCGGGATCGCCAGCTCGGCTGGGTTCTCGGCAGCACGCGGTGCCCGGAGGCCCGGACTTTCAAGCAGCCAAGATTGTTGGAGACAGATGCGGGCGGCTCCAAACGCGGGCATAGTCGGAGAAACGAGTGTGCAAGTGCATACGGACGCGTCCGTGTACCTAGGAGAGTGCGAGTTGGGGTGTTTGCCAGGACCACAGTTTGCGAGGTGGGAGGTGGGTGCGGGATTTACACGTGCTCCTGTACACTTTCCCGGGGGTCTGGGGGAAGCGAGCCGCTCGCACCCCGGGAGCACGCAGATCCATCTTTGCCGAGAGATCTCTTTAAATATTCAGTGAGAAATAATGGCATTTGAAGCACCACCTATGGAAACATTATTATCTTCATTCTTCAACATCAGCCCCACTGATAGCTTCGTTTGTCTTTTTATCAAAATCTACTGTAACCAACAGGACCTGAGGAGAGAGGGAAAGACAGGCGAAGAGGGTGTGTGAGGGTGTGTGTATGTGTGTATTAGACACCAACCGAGGGCAGGAAAGAGGAAAAGTAAGAGGGATAAGAGAAAAAGTGAAGAAGGGGCGAAAAAGGAAAAAGGAGGAACGGAGAAGTTACACCAAGAAAAAAAGTCGGCAGGAGAAAAACAGAAACATTCACCCGCACACCAAAGACTTAGATTAAAAAAGACCAAAGAAGCTAAGAGAGAAAGAGCCATTTGGGGGAACGCAGTCAGGGTCCAGAGGACCCGAAGCTCTACGCAGAAGACTCTGCCCACTTCGCGCGAACTGACTATGGTGCTATCCGGACTCAAGGGCGCTCCCGAATTGGGGCGTCCTTATGAGCCTTCTCCTTTCCCGATCGCGAGATAGGGCAGGGATTGTGTATCTGCACCCCCTCCTCCCCCATTACTCAGCCGAAGTTGTTTGTCCTTCGGGCGCAGGACTTCGGAAACCTTGGAGCGAGGAGACCCCGAGGCGCGAGGGGGAAGAGCGAGGCTGAGCCCAGGACTGAGCCCCAGGTTCGCGGGCGCCCGAGCCCAGCGGAGAGAGTGCGGGGCCCGGGCTCCCGATTCCGGGCTCGGGGACGCGGGGAGGGAGGCTGCATCCCAGCCTGGGGGAATGGAGCTACTGCGAAAAGTTTGGGTGCCGCGCTCGGCAAGTGCCGCAGAGGTGGAGGCGAGCTTCCGCGGGGCCAAACAGCTGAGGACAGGGACCCCCGTCACTCACTCCCGGCTCAGCGCGGCCACTCCGTCGCCAGGAGCGCGGCCCCCTCCCCCAGGGCGGGGAGCCTAGGCGAGCCGGAGACTGGCTTTGCCCAGGGCCGGTCCCGGCTGGGCCGCGCCTCCGGAGGCCAGGGGGTTGCAGCGTGCAGGGTAAGCGGCGGCTCGGCCCCTCCCCTCCCCCCGGCTGGAGCTGAACTCGGATCCCAGGCCGGTCCCCGCTCTTCGCCCGCCCAGGGCTCAGCGGCGCCACCGCCGCCGCCGCCTCCCCGCGGAGTGACGCGCCCTGCAGCCAACCGGGGCAGCCGGGGGGGAGGTCCGGGAGGGGTCCTGGGCGGAGCCGGGCCGCCCCTTATCCCACGGGCTCGGGGCTGCTTCTCCCGAAAACTTCAGCCCTAATTGTCCTGGGAATGTCCGAGGTAGAGAAAGGGAGCGAAGGAGCAAGCGAGAGGCTGGAGGATCGGGGCCCTTTGAGGAGGATCGGGGTGGCGGGAGAGCTGCCCCTCCCCCCCCAAAAGCCGCAAACCCATCACGTTCCCAAACCTTTCCTCGATCCTCTTCTCCGCGCCCCCGCGAGCCCGGGATCCAGGGGATGGAGAACTCGGGGCGAAGGAGCGCCGAGCCAGGCGGCGAGCGGGCGGGAGGCCGGGCCGCGGGCGGGAGGCGGACCGGCGTGGGGCTGGCTCTTCCCCACTCGCTTATTTGTTTTTTATGGGGGTGGGGGTGGGCAGCTTTCTGGTAGCTCTTAAAGAAACGAAGAAACACTCACGAAACGGGACTTCCTTCCCCCAAATCCCGCCACGGGACTCCCTCCCCCCGCGGGCCGGCGCGCCCAGCGCGGGAGTTGGGAAGTTCGCCGCGCGCTCGCAGCCCGGGTCTCCAGCCCCCGCCGCCCGGCCCCACCCCCCACCCGAGGAGGCTTAATTCCGGGGAGGGCATGCTAATTCGGGTCGGCCCAACCCGGGATGGGGGGGCCGAGCGAGGGGGGCGCGCAGGCCCGGGCGCCGGGTGCGCAGAGGCGAGGAGGCCGGCCCCCGGCGGCCGGGCCGCGGAGTCCCGGGCGGTCGCGAAGAGGGTTAACCCAGTGCCGGGCGGCGCGGCGCGCAGAGCCAGCCCCGCGGCCGGCTTATTGGGCCAGCGCTCGGAGAGACAGGGGTCTGCAGCAAATCACGAACTAATTGATTAAGGCGAGCGGGTTTGAATAGCGCTGGCCCGGTGCCAATCGCCTTTCAAAGAGCCCCTCTATGATTAATCGCAATGCATTATTGATAATCATAATTATAGCAGGACACATGCGCGCTGCGCCCGAGGCCGGGGAGCCGGGGAGGGGGCGGGCGGGCCGGCGGGCGGGGGGAGCCGCTGCCGCCGCCGCCGCTCGATTTCCGTAATTTTGAGAAGATTTTTTTTTAGTAATTTTTTATTCTGCCCCAGCTGATGTTTGAGCCAGCATGTCGCGGAGGAAGCAAGCGAAGCCTCAACATTTCCAATCCGACCCCGAAGTGGCCTCGCTCCCCCGGCGAGATGGTGAGTGCTCCGGCCCGCGCCGCGGACACACACACGCACACACACGCACTCGCGCTCACACTCACACTCACGCACACCCGGACCCACGCACACGCGGCCGCCCCCGCGGCCGCCCCCGCGCCCACTGCCCCGCCACCGCCGCGTCCCCGCTCGCCTTTCGACTCGGCGTATTTTTTTTTTTCTTTTTAATTTTCCATCTGCCTTTGCTGGGCTTTCCCCTGCCCCAGGGAAAGCAAACACTTCTCCCGGCAGGATCTTTCCGGAGTTGTTGGGTCCTCCTGCGGGGAGGAGAAGGGCAGGCCGGCCTTGCTCCTCCGTCCCGGCCGTTCCGGGGAGCGGAGCCCGGGACCCGCCGAGCCGCGGCCGGGGCCCGGGAGTCGGGCGGGCCGCGGGCGCGGGCAGAGGCCGTCCGCGCGGGGCCCCTCGCGCTCCCCGTGCCGCGCCCGCCGCCCTGGCCCGGCCTCGGCCGCCCCGGCCCTGCCGCCTGCGGGAAGGAAGTTTACTTCGCGCGCGGTGCTCAACTCCGAGCTGGGGGAGCCCCCTGCGCCGCGCCCCCCACCCCGGCGCTCACGCTCCCCCGGGCCCGCACCGCCGAGTGGGGCGCCTTTGGGGGTTCAGAGCTGCAGGAAGATGGGGACCCGTGTCGGGGCGCCCGCGCCTAACCCGCTGGGCTCGCGGCCCGCGTGGAGAGCGCTCTTCGCTGCTGGTTGCTCCCGAGGCGAGAGTGCGGGCGGACGGGGCCAAGTGTCGGCGTCCGGCTGCGCAAGTTTCTCCCCGCATCTCTACCCCGACACACGCACCCCGGCCCCCAGAAATCCTTAGCTTCGGTGTGCGCCCTCTGAGGATCGTGGCACCCCGTACTCCCAGGACTCGGAAGGGTCGTTTTCCGGGGCTGGGGGACTGTCTCGCCAGAGGAGAATCCCCCTGAAAGGGAGGCACTCGCTTTCTCCGATGGAGGCGACGACTGCGGGGTCCCGAAGGGAATGAACAAGTTCAGAACAAAGTTTGTGTGAGGGAACTAAGGCCGAGAGTGGGAGACATCCGCCAGGGAATTTGGGGTACCGGAGGAGGACACTTCGAACCCCTCCTTGTCCCTGAAGGAGTTTCACTTTAGGGGCCTCCGAGCTCCCAGGCCCAGGGCCGGCGGCGACGGAGCGGCGCTGGGGCTCGGTCCCCGGCGGGATGCTCGCCCCTCGGCGGCGGGAGGACGAGGGACAGCCCTGGCGGGGTCTCGGCGGCTCCGGGTGCCTCTCAGGATGCGCGAGTCCCGGGCGGCGTTCTGGGGTCTGGAGGAGGGAGCTGGACCCCGACAGGGCTCAGAAGCGCGCCCTTGGATGGGTACCTCTGTCCACTAAACTCTGCGGCCGCCCGGGCCCCACGGTCCCCGGGTCCTTCCCTAGAGGCCTGCTTCTCAGTAGGGTTGGGGCTCAGGGACCCGCGCAGAACCCGGCAGAGAAGCGAATGGACCCCCTCCCTTCACCCCGGCCGTCGGGAAAGCGGATTCCTGGCGTGGGGTCCCTGTAAGAAATTGGGGAGAACTGAGACCGGTTAAGGAAATTGTTTACAGTACCTGCCCCCACACCCCCATCCCAGTGCTTTCTCAAGCTTCAAGCCTTACCTAGAGTCTCTGGGATTTCTCAGTCCGCTGGGAAGAGCCCCTGAACCCCGCTTTCCACCCCAGGCGAAACCCGGTCCGCGAGGGAAATGGAGGTGAAATTACCCAAGGCCGCTGCCACCACTCCGAGTATGTTTCCGGGTTTTCTCAGCTGGTTCTTCTGCTTCTCGCCCCCACACCCATCTTTCCTGAAGTTTCTGGTGATACCATCCGCACCGTGATACTGTTAAAGTTAACAATTTGTATAGGAAAAACTAAAGGGAGGAGAAGAAAGAGGTTTTTAGTCTTTCTTGTAAATTTGTGCTGATTTTATACATTTTCAAAAAAAAAAAAAAGACGGGCTTCGCGGAAAAATGATCTTTGCGTTTCTCCTGTCGCCTTCTGAATCCAGAATTTTTAATAGTTGAGGCTTCTCATAAAGCGATAGCATAAAAGGAATTCACTACCTCTTACCACTATTATTTATTAGGACTTTTTTTAAAGTTTATTTGAGCTTTGTGGTAAGTTAATTAAGTAACTGAATCAAGTTTCCTTTCTTTCTTTTTTCTTTCTTTTGTTTTCTTCTTTCCTTTCTTTCTTTCTTTTTTCCTTCTTTTTTATCCCCCAAAGCCGGTTCATTGTCCTAAGAAGCAGTAAACGGTTTAGGGGCTCCGAGGAGACACTCCCGCCCAGCCCCCTTTCCCACCTCTCCCCACCCCTTCTTTTTCTTCAGTAGTAATGGTTTTACGTTATGACTGTTTTTACATGGTTGAACAATAAGTTTGGGAGAAGCTGCCTAGAGGGTAGATTTTGTAATAGGGTTACAGGATTTAGTATGTTGTAATAATATTAGTACACAACTAATCCTGCTCAGCGTCTGACTTACAGGAGGGCCTTGCACACTCCAGCTCTTTTTATTTGGGAACAGTTGTGAGATAAATGGAACTGAGAGTTCATGACAAAGCTCAAAGTTACCTTTAAAAAGTCACCACCTTTGCTGCAGTGAATTCACCCATCTCCGTTCTCCTCCCCACACAGAGCACGCACTTCAAGGAGTTGTGGGGTTTTTGGTTTTTTGGTTTTTTTAAACATATATAAAGGTTGTTAAATTTTTAGAAGACAAACCGTTACTCAAACAGTGTGGTTATTTTTTCTACTATCTTCAATTGGTCTTAAAATATGGCAAATGGAATCTTGAGCATACCGAGTACGTCTAGTTGGTGCTGTTATATGCTAGCCCTTCCAATTTTATGACTTCTGCCCAGAGTGGGACCTAGGAAGGTTTGTAGACCCCGGTTGCAGAGCCCTGCAGGGGCGGCTCTCAGGCTGCGAGCAGCCCGGGCTTCGGTGCTGCGGGTCACGCCTGTGTGTGTTTGAGTGTGTGTGCGCGTACAAAGAAAGCCTCAGCCACGCTCAGCAGCCACACGGATAACTTCATCGGAACAAGCACAAGAAAACAAGATGATTTGGTCAATCTTAGGATGGTCATATTTTAGTTCTACTTTAGTGCAGCTATAATACCAGAAACACCCTAAAATAAACTTGGGAATTTTTTTGTGTCTTGTAAAACCAAGAGTATGGCAAATATGACTTGTCTCTTAAATGATATTCAACAAGTCTTGAATTACTTGTAGTAAGATGACTGCCATTGGAAAAATTATTTACTGAGATAAATAATTCCAAGGAAAGGGAATATTAGAATGTAATGATTTTGTATGTGGGGTCTTTACTAGATATGTGGATTTCAGTTGTGTATATGCGCATGTGTTGGGTTTTTCTTCCTTGGGTGGTGTTTTTAAGTTTCCTGTAACTACGTGGATGGGCCACTCAGACTCCATTCATTTATTGAGAAAGTATTTTGGTGCTCAGCTTTTTCAAGGAAAAGATAATATTGGAAGAAAGATAAAAACATCCTGAACTGCAGATGAAACATTGACTTTCATATAAAGTATCATAAAAATTCCTCTTATTTATATTAATAATGAAATTCTATTATTTACCAAAGTAATTTACTCATTGTGAGCAGCTTAATGGCAACACATTGATTTCTGGGCCCAAAAGGTTAGACAGAACTATAATTAATTGCTCTTTTTGAAAAACCGACACCTGCAAGATAAGGCACTTGGAAAGAATTCGCGTTTAATCAGGCCTATTTCAAGTTTGTGGCATAATGGAAGATTCTGGATGAGAAAATGCAAACTGGGATTTGCTTCGGGCTGCCCATACTTCCTAAAATGTTAAAAACAAACACACAAACAAACCAGCAAAGTGTAGTTGGGCATGAGAGAGTACGTGTGAAGGTGAATTTGTGACACTGGACGTTTTGGGGTTTACTTTGCAGCACGTTTCACCTATGGTTTATAGGCACAAGTGCCAATTTATGGGTTATTTTGGGGGGACTTTATTTCATTTCTTTCTACTTTCGCAGGTGGCAAGTTGTCCTTATCACAGTCCTTTAGAAGGCAGAAACCCACATTTTTAATGTGGAGATCTTACTGAGAATATGGGGAAGAAATAGGTAGGATAATAGTTCCCTAAGTTTTTTGAAATTGTGAAAAGCCAAGCTTTACGTAGTAACCAGAACAAATTCCTTTGCAGTCTTAATTCAGGTTTCCTAAGACATATCCTGGTGCAGCTAGCCATATCTTCCAGAATATTCTGAGATTACCAAAACTCAAGTAATTCAGCAGTTTAGCGAAGGACATGGTCAGTTATCCTAAGAACCAACATTCCTATCCCCAAAAGAAAAAAGTTTTGTGTGCCAGGCTTTAGAAAACCCAGAAGTGTCGAGCTGTTTTAACCTTTGTGAGCCTCCTCGCATGAAAGGTGACAAGGTCCAGATCATAATATGTCCTTCAGTATCTTCCCAGTGACCCCCAAATTGAGGCTTGCTAGTCACTTAGCAGGAAGTTAGTAGTTTATTTTAGTTTCACCTTATCAGCTTGGCTTCTTTTCCTAACCTTATTCCCCTGTCACCCTCAGATGCCAGACCCCCAAAGGGGAAGATTGACAGGTAGTTCCCATAGCTCAGTTTTAGCCGCAAACAACAGGGATTTAGTTTCTTGTGCCTTTGCCAATGTTTATGTAGTCAAAGTTTAGATCTCGCCTTAAGGAGTCTCTCTTTTACGCGTCACTGGAATAGGAAAGCCACAAAGAAGTTTTTGAACAAACCCTTGCGACTGGAACCCCATCTAGTGTTCAATCTGATTCATCCAAGGGGAAGACATTTTTCCCCTTTCATTGAATGTGTACATTAGGTGGGCTTGGATCACCATTTAAAAGGAGGGTCTTGTCTGTGTTACTTTGTGAGAGATTTCGCTTGTATTCTTCCCCCGGAGAATACCCTAATTCTGGCCAGAACACCGAGGCAACTTGAAGGGGGCCAGTAAATTTGTTATTTGGTTGCCTATCACCTAAGGGAAACTTAAGACGTTACAGAAAATAAGCACAGCACATGTTGTGGTGTTTGAAATTTCTTTGGAATCTTAAACTGGGCGTTCAGATTCAGGCTTTTCCCAGGTCTGTGCAAAGGAAAAGATAAAAGACTAATCAATCAAAAATGTTTGTGATAGCCTTTCTAAATTGGCCTGCGGAAGGGAGCAGCCTGTTACAATTATGGGCTCCAAAATCACAGTCATGGGCAGTTCGATTAAAAATGTGAGTGTGATTTTCAGGTAAGGGGAAGTCAAGTGAGAGATCTTTCCAAAAAGGGAAACTCAATGTGGGAGAATAGAGTTGTTGTTGTTTTGTTTTGTTTTGTTTTTTCCTGGCTGGCTAAACCTTTCTGTGTGGGGCAGCTTTATTTTTGTTTTCTTAGTCGACAGACATACTGGAACTCTTCAATATTTTGCCTTCTATTCTGCAATGTTTGGTTCACATGATGAAAAACTAACAGATTTGAATTGGACATCAAGAACCTAAATAGGTCAACAAGAACTAAAACATCTGAGATTTTAGTATAAATTTGATGGAGCTGTAAGATCCCCTCCTCCCCCTCCAAAAAAACCCTAGAAAATTCCAAATATCTTTTTGTGTGTACATACTTAGAAACCCACTACTTCTTAAATTTTCCTATCTGACCAGGATTACAAAATTACTTTAATTTGTATGCAAAATACATAGAAAAGGAACTGGAATGTTATTTTCATCATAGTACAGAGAACAAGGCGATTGTATTTACTATAATGGGGTCACCAGTTGCAGTCCTGTGTAACAGATTATTGAGAGAGATACAAGATAGCAGACGGTCAGAAAAATGAACACGAACTTGTGAGTTTATGTGTGTGTATATGTATCTTACTACAACTTAAAATATTCCCTTTGGTACTTAAAGATTCTAACTAGTCCTCATGTTTTATCTTTTTTTTAAAGCTGTTTCATTGGAATTCTGTTCAGAATGCAGATAGATTTAAAGTTAAGAACTATTACAGTGTAGCGACACCTGCTTTTGAAAGAAATCATAATAGATACCAGGATTTTTTTTTTTTGGTGTTCATAAACATCAGGAAATTAAATTAGTTAACTCTACGGTGAGATCAAATGTCAGCTTATTAAAATGTTGTGAAAATCTAAGCTAAAATATGAGCAGCTTTTTAACACAGTCTCTTTCTTAGAAGCAAGCAGGCATTTATTTTTAAGTATCTCTATTTTCTGTCCAGTTAGCATGAGCCTAAATATAAAAATGTTCAGGTTGAAAAACTTGAAAATTCTGAAGTGAGCCTTGAGGCAGCACAAAGGCAGAATCCGAGCACAGGAAAGTAATGACCAGCTCAGTCCTGTAAAGTAACCTTCTTTTTATTTTCTCTATATATTATGAGAATATCAGATGTTTGCAAGTTATAAAGAATTAAAATGCCCTTTAATCGCCAGCACAGATGTGCTAAATATTTGAAGCAACTACATTGTAATGTGTACAATTGATGAAGTCAGTTTTCTGATTTCCCTTGCTAGTTATTTAGTTCTGAATCTGTCATTATTTGTCTAAGCCCAGCTGACCAAGCAAAACTGTGTTTTAAAGTGGCTTTATGTTTTGATAAATGTGAGCTGGTTGAAAAGTATTTTCCACTGAATGCAGAGCTTAATAGAACATGCTGACATAATAGTTTTAATGCATTTTGTTGAAAATGTGTGAACAAACAGAATAGCTTTTGTTCCTTCATAATTGGCTGTAAAAGTAGATGGAAACATAACCATTACATATGGAAATGTGCAAAGAGAAAGAAATAACATTTCTGTTGAATATATTAGGAATTGCATTTCCTAGTTTAAAATAAGCATCTGAAATGGATGCATCATTTAAAATTGGTTGTCAAAATAAGAAGCTTTAAACAGAATTTTTGTCACATTATTTTTGTCCCAAGTTAAGCAGCATAACTTTAGTGAATTTCGTTTAATATTTTGTTTGTCTTATTTTAAGGCAGGGAGAGAGACAGAAACTGCTTAAAACAGCACCTTGAATGTGCATAGGAATCCCGTGCCGGTGGGATGATTAAACATTAAATTAAAACTGAATCATTACTGGTATTTTCTGCTACAACTAAGATTTGTTGGGTATTGTTAATGCGTTTTGCACTATACCCTTGTGGAGACTAGAAGATGAGTATTAGGAAAGCTAGCTTGTTAAGTTTAACTTAGCTACTCACAGAACACTCCCAGTGAGTAAAGTGGGCATCATTCGCCATAGTTGACCAGCGCGCCTCATCACCTTCGGTTTCGCTCAAGGCAAATACAGTTAAGGAATTTTCAGAAGTTAGGATTTAGGGATTAATTATATTTTCTGACATGCAGAAATACTCAGGCTTTTTTTGATGTTCACCACAAAAAGGCAAACGGCAGGCTCTCTCGAATTGACTCTAAGTTGACTGAAAAGGTAGCATTTTGATTTTGCGTTTATTCATATCTGCAATTAGTTTTTTCTTTTTTTTCCTGCAAGTTTTCTGGGAGATTCAATTTGGAAGTCATGGAAACTAACTATTATCTGATTCAGTTCTGCAGAGAAGCATGCAGGGAGGTAATCCTTGAATTAAACAGTTTTTTTTTTCACAGCCTTCGGAGATGACCACACACCATTTGTACAACAGAAGTTGGTGTTCCCCATGCTGGGCAAACAATGGGACGCCATCCTGTCTTTGAATAGGATGTTAGCTTGGAGTTGGAGATTTTTATGTTTAATTTACAAATGGATCTTAGTGAGAAGAAATCTGAGCAACCAGTGGAAACAAACATGAAATAAAGGGATTTTTATAATGAAAGGTTCAGGACAATCTGTTAAACAATTGATAACAGTTAAGAGCAAACTGTTTCTGAAGGCGTTCAGACAAGGAGAATTGCAGAGCATTTCCAAACTCGAAACCAAGAATTATTTCTTCACTTCCCCTTAACTGCACATCCTTCTTGAAGTTGATGTTTAATCAGAAATGTAAATCTCGTGCCAGTTTTTATAGATATAAGGAGCACTTTTGATGAAATATTTAGAGGCGTAAATGTTGCCATTTGGAGCATGGTGGCATATATTCCTTGATTAGTGGAATGGTAGCCAGGGTTGCATTCTTTAATTTTAAAAATAAACATGCCATGGGGTGATATATAGGTGCCAGGCAGGCCTTGTAACGGATTATGATCACTGTGTTTCTCTTCATTGTGTGTGTGTGTGTGCGTGTGTGTGTTGCTTTCTCTTTTGTATTCAGCTGAGTCTGGAGGAGCAGCCTGCAGGGTTTGCTACTGATGTGACTTACAGTGTGTTTGCCGTGGATCAGACTTAGCTCAGGTTCTGGGTAGGGGCTGGAGGTGATTTTCAAGTTGTCAGTCTTCAGCTTGGTGATATGCATTTTTTTCCCTTCTTGTCAACAACTGATTGGAACCTGAATGACTACAAATTAGTTTAGTGACAGAACAAACTGTCACAGATATCTTTGAATCAGTTGAAAATGAATAAGGTTGACAGAAACTCAAGAGCCTAATAAGTCCTCAGAACAGTTGCTGGGCGCTCTCTGGATGAGTAGACAATAAGGTGGATAAAATATTGGAAATCAATATTTTGCTATGGAATTTCATTATGCACCAATGTCTTCAGTTCATAGTATTTTATATTTTGATGGATTATCTGAAGGCCATGGCTCTCTGAGATACCAGATTGATAGGAATTCCTCCAACATCCTTAAAATTTAATTAGGAACTCTCTTAGGCAATATTGACTGGTGTTCAGGGGCGATAGTTTTGAGTTTTGCAGGTAGACAGCAATTGATCAACCTCTTTCTCTTTTTTGAAGTCATCGGTGACTGTGTGTGTCCTGGCTCCCTTTCTAACCCTGCGCCTTTTGATGTTTGCAGGAGACACGGAGAAGGGTCAACCGAATCGCACCACTAAGAGCAAGGACGCCCACGTCTGTGGCCGGTGCTGCGCTGAGTTCTTTGAATTATCCGATCTTCTGCTCCACAAGAAGAACTGTACTAAAAATCAATTAGTTTTAATCGTAAATGAAAGTCCAGCCTCCCCACCTGAAACCTTCTCCCCCAGCCCCCCTCCCGATAATCCCAGCGAACAAATGAATGACGCAGTTAACAAAACAGATCCAGTAGACTGCAGCAACCTTTCAGAACACCAAGGACTGGACAGGGACGAGTCCATGGAGGTGGAGGCCCCGGTGGCTAACAAAGGTGGCAGTGGTCCTCTGAGCAGCAGCCACAGCAGTGCCACCCCAGGCTGCAGCAGCACCTCCTCCACGGGTACCTCAGCGATCACAACCTCTCTACCTCAACTCGGGGACCTGACAACACTGGGCAACTTCTCCGTGATCAACAGCAACGTCATCATCGAGAACCTCCAGAGCACCAAGGTGGCGGTGGCCCAGTTCTCCCAGGAGGCGAGGTGCAGCGGGGCCTCCGGCGGCAAGCTGGCCGTCCCAGCCCTCATGGAGCAGCTCTTGGCCCTGCAGCAGCAGCAGATCCACCAGCTGCAGCTGATCGAACAGATTCGTCACCAAATATTGCTGTTGGCTTCTCAGAATGCAGACTTGCCAACATCTTCTAGTCCTTCTCAAGGTACTTTACGAACATCTGCCAACCCCTTGTCCACACTAAGTTCCCATTTATCTCAGCAGCTGGCGGCAGCAGCTGGATTAGCACAGAGCCTCGCTAGCCAATCTGCCAGCATCAGCGGTGTGAAACAGCTACCCCCCATCCAGCTACCTCAGAGCAGTTCTGGCAACACCGTCATTCCACCCAACAGCGGCTCTTCTCCCAATGTTAACATATTGGCGACAGCAGTTACCACCCCGTCCTCAGAAAAAGTGGCTTCGAGCGCTGGTGCCTCCCATGCCAGCAACCCAGCAGTCTCGGCATCCTCCTCACCAGCTTTTGCAATAAGCAGTTTATTAAGTCCTGCATCTAATCCACTTCTACCTCAGCCAGCCCCTGCTAACTCGGTTTTCCCCAGCCCTTTGCCCAACATCGGAACAACTGCGGAGGATTTGAACTCCTTGTCTGCCTTGGCCCAGCAAAGAAAAAGCAAGCCACCAAATGTCACTGCCTTCGAAGTGAAAAGTACTTCGGACGAGGCGTTCTTCAAACACAAGTGCAGGTTCTGTGCGAAGGTCTTCGGAAGCGACAGTGCCTTGCAGATCCACCTGCGTTCCCACACCGGAGAGAGGCCGTTCAAGTGCAACATCTGTGGGAACAGGTTCTCCACTAAGGGGAACCTCAAAGTCCACTTTCAGCGCCACAAAGAGAAATACCCTCATATCCAGATGAACCCCTATCCCGTGCCTGAGCATTTAGACAATATCCCCACAAGTACCGGCATCCCCTATGGCATGTCCATTCCTCCAGAAAAGCCAGTCACCAGCTGGCTAGACACCAAACCGGTCCTGCCCACTCTGACCACTTCCGTCGGCCTTCCATTGCCCCCGACCCTCCCGAGCCTCACGCCCTTCATCAAGACCGAAGAGCCAGCCCCGATCCCCATCAGCCATTCTGCCGCCAGCCCCCCAGGCTCTGTCAAAAGTGACTCCGGGGCCCCAGAGCCAGCCACAAGGAGCCTGGGTGGGCTCCCGGAGGAAGCGGAAGGGCCCACGGTGCCCCCCTCCAGTGGCAAAAGCGAAGAGAGCAGCGTGGTCACCAGCTCAGCCCCGGCAGTGAGCAGCAGTGCTCTGAGCTCCCCGGCAGCAGACTGCGGCCCGGGCACTGCCACCACCTTCACCAACCCTCTGTTACCACTCATGTCCGAGCAGTTCAAGGCCAAGTTTCCTTTTGGAGGACTGTTGGACTCAGCCCAGGCATCAGAGACGTCCAAGCTTCAGCAACTGGTAGAAAACATTGACAAGAAGGCCACTGATCCCAATGAGTGTATCATCTGCCACCGGGTCCTCAGTTGCCAGAGCGCCTTGAAGATGCACTACCGGACACACACTGGGGAGAGGCCCTTTAAGTGTAAGATCTGTGGCCGGGCTTTCACCACGAAAGGGAATCTTAAAACCCATTACAGTGTTCATCGTGCTATGCCCCCGCTCAGAGTCCAGCATTCCTGCCCCATCTGCCAGAAGAAGTTCACTAACGCTGTCGTCCTGCAGCAGCACATTCGAATGCACATGGGAGGCCAGATCCCCAACACCCCAGTCCCTGACAGCTACCCTGAGTCCATGGAGTCTGACACGGGCTCCTTTGATGAGAAAAATTTTGATGACTTAGACAACTTCTCCGATGAAAACATGGAGGACTGTCCCGAGGGCAGCATCCCTGATACGCCCAGGTCCGCGGATGCGTCCCAAGACAGCCTATCGTCTTCGCCTTTGCCCCTGGAGATGTCAAGCATTGCTGCTTTGGAAAATCAGATGAAGATGATCAATGCCGGCCTGGCAGAGCAGCTGCAGGCCAGCCTGAAGTCGGTGGAGAATGGGTCGGTCGAGGGGGACGTCCTGACCAATGATTCGTCCTCAGTGGGTGGCGATATGGAGAGCCAAAGTGCTGGCAGCCCAGCCATCTCAGAGTCTACCTCTTCCATGCAGGCTCTGTCCCCATCCAACAGCACCCAGGAGTTCCACAAGTCACCCAGCGTCGAGGAGAAGCCACAGAGAGCCGTGCCCAGCGAGTTTGCCAACGGTTTGTCTCCCACCCCAGTGAACGGTGGGGCTTTGGATTTGACATCTAGTCACGCAGAGAAAATCATCAAAGAAGATTCTTTGGGGATCCTCTTCCCTTTCAGAGACCGGGGTAAATTTAAAAATACCGCTTGCGACATTTGTGGCAAAACATTTGCTTGTCAGAGTGCCTTGGACATTCACTACAGAAGTCATACCAAAGAGAGACCATTTATTTGCACAGTTTGCAATCGTGGCTTTTCCACAAAGGGTAATTTGAAGCAGCACATGTTGACACATCAGATGCGAGATCTACCATCACAGCTCTTTGAGCCCAGTTCCAACCTTGGCCCCAATCAGAACTCGGCGGTGTTGCCCGCCAACTCTTTGCCATCTCTCATCAAAACAGAGGTCAACGGCTTTGTGCACGTTACTCCTCAGGACAGTAAGGACACCCCCACCAGTCACCTCCCTTCTGGGCCTCTGTCATCCTCTGCCACTTCCCCAGTTCTGCTCCCAGCTCTGCCCAGGAGAACTCCCAAACAGCACTACTGCAACACGTGTGGCAAAACCTTCTCCTCCTCGAGTGCCCTGCAGATTCACGAGAGAACTCACACTGGAGAGAAACCCTTTGCTTGCACTATTTGTGGAAGAGCTTTCACAACAAAAGGCAATCTTAAGGTACCTTTCTCCATCTGTACTCACCCCCCCTCCCAATCAGCCCTCCTCCTTGCCATTGATTATTTGTAATGCATGCTCCTGCAGTCGTCAGCCCAGATAGTCAGGGAGAGCGTTCTCACAGGGGAGCCTGCTGCGTGGAGCTGACCACGGAGAAATGTGGGTGCCAGTGCGGGTCAGGATCGTGGCAGGGACCAGGGCAGGCTGCAGCTCACTGAATGTCAGGGTGCATTGAATAATTTGGTACCTAAGCGCAGCAGCGGCCTGTTTCTGTTGTCTCGCTAAGTGCACCAAATGAATTGCTTTACCTAGCAAGTAAGACAGCCCCGCGTTGCCATGGGGTATTGATTAAAGACCTCCGTGTGGCCTGTGGCTGCCCATATCACTTAATAATTACAGTTCTCCTTGGCGTATGCATCTATTTTTCATAACTATGCAGTCCAGCATGGTTTGTTTTTCTAAAAACAGTAACGTCACTGCTCTGCTAATGGGTATTATGATAATTGATTATACAGCATTTCCTACTGATATGTGTTGAAAATAAAGCAAATATGCTCAAGTTCTGGAGCAACAGTTGAGCACTCTCACTGTGTACATTTTTCTGTTGACAGAGTATTTCTCTAGAGATCGCTGCCAGTAATGTGAGATGAATAATTACTTTCTGGCTCTTCTCTCCATGCACGGGCCCTCCAATGGGCAATCAGTGAGGGGTACTTTCTTTCCATCTGAAAAGGACATTTATAGGGTAAAGGGTGTCAGATACAATACTTACCATTGCAATGAGAGTGGACATAACAATTCTAACCCTGAAAGGAGCTATCTGCGACTGACTGGCTTGCTTGAGGCCATTATAAGCTAAATACGGGTAATAAAAAAGAGTAAGTAAGGCATCTTTGCCAGGAAGAAGAGAGGCGGCCCCGGGCTGCAGAGCGAACGTGTTATTACTCGTCCACGGGAGCGGATGGGCCCCTTACCTTTTCCACTGTCTGACACGTAATAAGAATAGACATTTTGGCCACTTGTTCTGTCGAGTGTTGGGATATGAGCTGAGACAGATTCAACTATTAAGCTTCTCCCTCTCTCTCCCTTGCCTTTTTTTTCTCTCCCTCTCTGCCCCCATCTCAGGTACACATGGGCACTCACATGTGGAATAGCACCCCCGCGCGACGGGGTCGGCGGCTCTCTGTGGACGGCCCCATGACATTTCTAGGAGGCAATCCTGTCAAGTTCCCAGAAATGTTCCAGAAGGATTTGGCAGCAAGGTCAGGAAGTGGAGATCCTTCCAGCTTCTGGAATCAGTATGCGGCGGCACTCTCCAACGGGCTGGCGATGAAGGCCAATGAGATCTCCGTCATTCAGAACGGTGGCGTCCCTCCAATTCCTGGAAGCCTGGGCAGTGGGAGCAGCTCACCTATTAGTGGGCTGACGGGAAATCTGGAGAAGCTCCAGAACTCAGAGCCCAGCGCTCCTCTGGCCGGCCTGGAGAAAATGGCAAGCAGCGAGAACGGAACCAACTTCCGTTTCACCCGCTTCGTGGAAGACAGCAAAGAGATCGTCACGAGTTAGAGCAACTCTGGCTGGAGAAATAGCATTCCTGTTCAGAATGAGACCCACGGTTGCCTCCTACTCCTTGCCCTGTGCCCCCGGCCTCTGGTTCCCCCAGATCTATGAACTATCACATTATGAAGACATTCTTTTGTACCTTGTTCAACTTCTAGAGTTCTAAGAAAGCTTATTTATTAGTGATATAACCTTGCTTTGCAAACAGAATGCAAGCATTAACTTTGGTCTTCTGTATTTTGGACTAATACTAATTGACTAGAGTGCTGTAAGCTTGCTGTAACATTTATGGCAATTGCAAGTTGCCCTGCTAGGCGGTCTTAATCTGGCATTAACTTATTTTCTATATCCAGTTTAATATGAATCTGGTGTTGATGCAATGCCTCAGTGATGCATTAGATCTCTAATAAAGTCTGTATATAAATGTACACTTTGATCCTGCTGGAAAATTTTATCAGCAAACACATTGTCTAATCTTTCGAAACAAATTTAAGGAAAGGACTGAAAGTACAGATTGAGCAGTGTGGTTCTTTGAAAGGTTTGGTTTTTTGATTTTTCGTCTAAACTTCAACCTGCTTTTCTTTTTTTGTAGATTTAACCTTTTCCGTATGGAACTGCTATTTGTATTGTGCTTTTTCCTTGAGTCGTCCTCAATGTTAATAAGTTTCTGTACAGTAATAAGCACGCAGAATTCTTTAGAGAAAATACAAGTGTTGTTTTGGTAGTTGAAACTGAGACGTAACATTTTGCCTTGTAGGTATATTCACAATAGGAAACGTGTGCTGGAATTTCACAATGCTGCTAAGTATAGCATCTTGAACAACCTTCAGTGGAGAAATGTAGATGCTCTTGTATATACAATAAGAAATATCACTTTCATTAAAATGTACATAGGTTCCTTACAAGAGCAAATGCTTCTTCTTGATCAAGAGAGCAGGTATAGTGTTTGTTTATTTTGTATTAGATATGGAAGAAAAAATTGGACTGTTACATGCACTTTCTTGGAAAGTTGAAAGGAAGGGGGGGGTCCAATTTCTTTAACATTTAATACTTACTAACAACAGAGATACTGTAATTTTACTCAAGTAATCAAATACATTTTTTTTTGCAACAGATAAAGCAAAATACTGTGTCTGTGTTTTGAGAGTGCATTTCTATTCAGCCAGGCCCCAAAACATATTTTAACACATCCCCAGGCACCAGTAAATCCTGTATGTGAGTGTGTCTCTCTCTAAATAAGGAATTGTAGGAGGCCTAACAGCGACAGGTTTGCAGGGGCCTGGGCTGTGTTTTCTTTTTCTTTTCTGTAAATTTGGAGGATCTAGATGTTTTCCCAGTATCTATTACTTCTTTGGCCACCTCTTCCCATCCCCCCCACCCCCACCAAAAAGGAAATAAAAAGTTATTGGAGGTGTCATGTGGACAGATAAGTTTCCTTAAGCAGGACATTTGTGCCCCTTTAGCCTTCGCCTTGATTTCAGCTGTGCTGGTTTCACTTCCCTTGAGTTGGCTGCTTTTTTTCAGGCGGCTGAGAGCTGCGTTGCTGGAGAGGTCCCTATGCAGCGGGGGTTATATAACCTGAGTCTGAAACTGGGCCTCAACCCAGAGAGGTCAACATGTTATTTAATTAGTCTTTTAGGCGTTAAACACATGCATGTTTGAAAGAAAAGGTTTATTACAAAGGATGTGTAGAGTCGACTTGAATATTTCATCATCAAAATTCAATCTGACTCTTCCTCTCTCCCTTTTTTCTAGGGGAAACGTGTTTCCCTCTTGAGCACTGTTTGGGGTGAGCAAACGCACAGGGTGGCAGTTGGCGTCTAGAGGGGTCGGCGAATTTTTTCTTGCAGGGAGGTGCTGAATCACCGGCCGCTGGTGGCCCTGCGCCCAGGTAACGGAGAAGCGTAAGGGCCGCCTTCCAGTAGAAGTTTCCACTGGGCGCGGGCCACTCTGTGGCCACTCCGGGCCGCGCCTGCCGGGCTGGGTGGTCTCGTGGCCTGGAGGCCCAGGCCGGGCGTTGCGGAGGTGGGCGCCCCCGAACGTGGACAAGGCGGGTACGGGGTGTGCGCTGCGTGGTGATGCGCAGAATATCCACTTAGACGGCGGTATTTCTCGATGCACCTCTCCAGTCCCAGCCTCGCCGCCCCAAAAGAGACCCCTTTGCTCAAGAGTGGGCACAAGCAGAGAAGGCCAGAATTCTGTCCAGACGCTCTTCTTCTACGTGGGCCAAAGGGGGACGATGTCGTTGCGATGGAGGCGTCCATCCCCTTCCCTGGCTGGGCGCGGCGAGGAGGGGCTGCCCCCGACCTGCGGGGTCTTGGGGTGGGGGAGCTCCTCCGGAAGCGGCCCCTGCGCCTCTGGACGGGGCCTGGGGACGTGCTGGGAGACCGAGGGCTGCCGGCCGCCAGAGGGACAGACTCACACGACGCCCCCTCGGCGCGCACGCCGGCTCCCGCACCCCCGTGCCTCGCCGGCCTCTGCCGAGGGGCCCGGTCGGCTGCACCCCGACGCCGTCTCCCGAGCACACGCCCAGCAGCTGGACTCGGCTTTCCCGCCCCCCTGCCCTCCCGTCGCCGGCCCCGGGCTCCCCCACGCCGACCGGGCGCGGGGGTCGCGGCCCTGGCCACCCCGGGCTGCGCGTGCACTTCCGCGAGGCGGGCGGTCCCGGGCGGGAGCCGGGCGATTTTTTCCTTTCCCTCTCTCCACCAACCTCCTCCCTTCTAGCGTCTTCTGAAAGTGAGTTAAGGGGAGCAAAAGCAGCTTTTCGTTTAGACGGATTTTCCAAGGCAACCGGAGCCCTAAGGGAAAGGTCGGAGCCTCAGGGTCTCCCCCTTGACACCCCCCGCGTTGTCCCTGCCTATCCATCTATCCATCGACTATCTTTCTAATCTATAGAGTATTACCTGCCCATTCCTCTTCCCATTCATTTCCAAAACGAGAAATCGCCCTCAGCTCTGCTGCCCTCGGTGTGATAAATACTCAGCCTTCGGCTCAGCCCCGCAGAAGAGAAATGGTTTTGTATTTATAAAGCAACAGGGTTTATTTTAAGGCAGATGTCGTGGTACACACGACCCCCACCCGGCTCCCCCCCCCCCCCCCCCCCCCAAGCTTCCTCGCTCTCCTGCCTGCCTTTTCCTCTTCTGAAGCTTGAGGTGCCTCAAGGTAATTTGGAATCACCGAAAACCGAATCTCCCGGGTGGTTGCTGCCTAGAATGATGACAACTAAGTTCACAAAATTTTTGAACTAAAAATATTCATTTGGGTGACATTTTCCCCCAGTTCCTTTTTTGAAAACGTGAATTAGAAAAATACAGAAAAATACAGCGAATAATGTAACAAACCCCCTTCTGCCCATCGCTCAAAATTTACAAACGTTAGCAACTTGTCGGGGTTTTGGGGGATTTTTTAGACGCCGTGCTTTGCTTGTTCTCTCTTTCTGTCTCACTGTGTCGCTGTCATTCTCTCACCATCTTCTCCGGCCTATATTCCTTTGTGTTTTTTCTTTTCTCTCCCTCCGTCTCCACTGCTCCTCACCCCTCCATACCCACACAGGAGCTTCCTTCTTTCTGGAAAATATATGAAAGAGCAGTTTGGTGATTGACAGGGCCTAGGGAGGAAAATAGGAGAGAGACCAATGACAGACCCAAGCAGCCCAAGACCCCTGAGCCAGCGGTTGTGTGGGAGGGGCGGCAGTCAGGAGGGGAGGGGCCTGCCCATCACTGGAGACACCTGAAGCTGACCTCCAGCTCAGTTTTCACGTCAGTCCTCAAGGGCCAGGTTTCTTCAACTGACTTATGGGGGTAAGGGGGCAGTTTTTTAAATTAGAAAAAAAGTGTTCATACAGAAAATCCTAAATGATTTGCAGTTGACATAAATTTCTAGCGGTAGATTATTTGCTTATTGTTTTTGGCGTGTTGTGAATGTCAAGAATGAGAGAACTTAAGAAAAAAAGCTCCCACTCTGTTAAAACTTAGCAGTCCTGTTAGAAAAATAAAGCATTGAAGTCTTTACTAGGAGTTACACACTTTGCCCCAAATGAAACAAATGTCAAAGGGGGTAACAAAGTGGGAAAAAATGTAAAGTGAATTTCAAAGGGCTCCACAGTAAAGAGCAATCTGAGATTCACAGAAAGTGGAGACGGATAAGACAGGAATTAGGTCATCTGGTCCAGACCCCAGGAAATATGTTTAGATCAAAGCCTGCTCCGTCAGAATAAACAAAAGAGGGCCCATTGGGTCCTACCAATATTTTCATCTCTGTTCTAAGAGCTGCTAATCTAACCGGCTCTATTGGATGAAAGGGGGTAAAAATTACAACTGTAAAAATGGCAAGTAAAAAAATCTCCTTTCAACTATAATAGGAAGATAAAGATTTAGATTTGAGCTAAAAAGTAACAAGATCCAGGCCCAGATCAACACAAACTTCCTGGAAATTTAGCACTCAGTAAATTATCTAGTCCCAGCCCTTGTTCCCTCCTTGCCGCCCCCCACCCATGCAACTGAGCGGACCAGATGATTTACATAAAAAATTGTTAAATTTTAACTGCAGTCTAAGAACGCTGCAAGAGGCAGACTTTTGGGTTCACTTACTTTACATTCCTTAAGGACTCACCGCCCACCAGCCCCACTGTCCCCACCCCCCAGGCAGCTGGGGTAGCTGCTGGCCTTTATTGTTGTGGGTGGTTCCTAAGCCCAGTACGAGTTTGGGCTCTCTTTCCACTGAGGGCAGCGACAGAAGCCGGAGCTCGAGTCGTTTAAGCCTGGCTTGGGGTCCACACCATTCGGCAGCCGTTGATGTTTTAGCAGCTAAGCTGAAGTTTTCTGTGAAGCTTTCTTTCACCGCAGAGTTGATGACCTTAAGCCAACTGCCAGGGAACTTTTGATAGATAGAAACATCCAGAAAAGGGACAGGAAATCCCAGAGAAGGAAAATTCACCCAGGCTAAATCCAGGGTTGTCGTTCCTTGCTGAGCCTGGTTTCCTCTTAACTGTTTAAACATATGATTTGGCTCTTCTTGTGTTTCTACGTTCATCTGAGCTCAAGTTTAACAAAGACTCAGGGACCGCCTGTCAACTTGGCTCTGGCCCTCTCTGAAGCCAGGACGACGGGGGTGGGGTGGGGAATGTGACGGGCCTCTATAAACACCACCAGGAACAGGCCATCTTCTGTGTGGGGCCCTTGGCTCTCACCTCACAGAGGGCAGTTCCAGGATCAGCTTTTTCCTTGCGTTCCACGGCGGGCTTTGAAGACAAGCGGCACTGTGTTGGAGGCTGCACAAGTCGACCCTTCCTCGTTAGACGCAGGATGGGACCCGTCCTGCTCAGCGAGCGTAGCTGGATCCTGACACAGCACCGTCTGTTAGGACGTGGATTCAGAGAGGCCAGGGGTCATACCATTTTGTTGTGATCACAGCCGCATCCAGTAGGAAGCTCAGGCAGCCACCTGTAAGCATGGGTAAAGATGTAAACATAGCAGGCCCACTCCTGATATAAGGGGCAGAAAGGGGAACACCAGTCAGCCTGCAGAGCTGCTTGCATATTCAAAATTTGGGGTGCTTCCACATGACTCATCTCAGAGCAGTCCTCTCAGACAGGCAGGGCCACTGTCATTTCCCAGAGGACAAAACCGAGACCCAGAGAGCAGAGAAGGAACAGTTGGACAGCAGACCCGGAACTGTCGCTTGCTCAATAGCCAAATCTGGGGCGCAATCCTGACTTGCCTGATCCATGGACTGATTTCCCATCTGTATGAGAGGTTCAATTTCCAGCAATATTTCCCAGTAGCTTCCATCAGAGTCTTACTATGCTCACAAGTTTACGTTATCGGAGAACCACCTATGCTATCACTTATTTGATCATTTTGCTTAAGTTACTCTCTCTTTAAAGCTTAAGTGTATTTATTTTAGAAGGAATGGGAAACACTGGATTTGATTCTCTCCAGTAGTCTTTCTAGTCTGTGCAGGAGTGATCTTTGCACTTCAAGCCCGTTCGGTGATGTCCCCAAATCAGAATAACACCATCGCGTCCTGCTGCTTCGCCTCGCTGCATCCTTCCTGAGTTTTCTTCTAACCAACTGCCTCTTGCTTTAGACGAGTGTGAGGTCTGTGGGTCTTCAAG